CTGATGATTCTGATGATGATGATGCTGATGATGATGATGATGCTGATGATGATGATGATGCTGATGATGATGATGATGATGATGATGATGATGATGATGATGCGGCTGATGATACTGACGATGATGGTGTTGATGATGATGGTGCTGCTAATGCGGATGTGGACGCTGTTGATACTGCGCATGATGATGACCATGCTAGTGACGAGGCCATTGATAGTGATTATGATGATGCTGATGATGATGATGTTGCCGCTGATCAATATGATAATGGTTATGACGATTATGATGATGCCGATGATCATGATGCGGCTGCTGATGATGATGGCTCTGATGCTGATGATGATGGCCATGGTGATGATGATGAGGGTGACGGATGGTCACGATGACGCTGCTGTTGTTGTTGCTGCTGCTGATGATGACGATAATGATGCTGATGATGATAATGATGATGGTGTTCATGGTGTTGTTGGTGACAATACGGATGGCACACGTTGCGATGATGACGGTGGCGATGCTGATGATCTTAATGCTGGTGATGCTCGCCGATCACGATGATGATGTTGATGTTGACGATGAGGAGGAGCAAGAGGAGGAAGAGGAGGATAACAAGACAACAGCAACACCAACAACACCAACAGGAGGAGGAGGAGGAGGAGGACGATGAGAACGTTGAGGACGAGGAGGAGGAGGAGTGGGAGATGGAGGATGAGGAGGAGGACGAGGAGAAGGAGGATGAGGAGGAGGAGGAGGCGGAGGCGGAGGTGGAGGAGGAGGAGGAGGAGGAGGAGAAAACGGAGTTGGAGGAGTTGGAGTTGTTGGAGGAGAAGGAGGAGAAGGAGGAGGATGATGAGGAGGAGGTGGAGGAGGTGGAGGAGTTGGAGGAGAAGGAGGATGACGAGGAGGACGAGGAGGACGAGGAGGAGGAGGACGAGAAGGACGAGGAGGAGGAGGAGGAGGAGGAGGAGGAGGAGGAGGTCGAGCGGGAGGGGGATGAGCGGGAGTAGCTACCGCTTGAGCTGCCCTGTGGTTTTGGTCGTCCACGCTGCCTCCTCGCTCCCGGCGATGACTAGGGGATGATGATGAGGGCGAGGCGCGAGCTCCGCCTCGAGGAGGAGAAGGAGGAGGACGAGAAGGACGAGAAGGACGATGAGGACGTTGAAGACGAGGAAGAGGAGGAGGGGGAGGTGGACGTGGAGGAGGAGGAGGACTAGGTGGACGAGGAGGAGGAGGAGGAGGTTAGGTTTGGACAGCCCCAAGGGGAAGAGACTCGCAAGTCTGAAACAAATGGGGTGTTCAGTGGCACCCCTTAGAGACAGGGATTTTCATCCTGGAGGACAGAGCTCCCCACACTCTGACCAGGGCCCGCGACGGGGTGCCACGACCCGAACTATTTCCACAGGCATGCACTCGCTTCGCGAGGGCAGCCAGCCGTGGTGGAGGAGGAGGACCAGAGCAAGCCCAGGATGCGCCAACGATGAGGCTATTGCGCCCGCCCGTCCCAAGCCCCCTCCCCCGTAGGTCCCTACCCCGCCCTTCTTTCTGGGAGGACGAGGTGCTGCAAGACGGGACCGCCGTCAAGGCTCCTTAGGCTGACCAGGGATTACCAGAGGTTCCACGCGAGCCGCGCCCCATGCGCGCACCATCTGGGACGAGGGCAGCCAGAGCTTGTCGCCCCGGCCTCCGCCATTATCCACTGCGAGAGCTTCATGTGTCGGCAGCGGCCCTGATCCAGGCCCCTCCAATCTGGTCCGAGTAGATGGGGTCGGAGGATCGCGCCGCATCGCCGATGTATCGGCGATGCGGGTGGAGCCATGTTTTCTCTATGCCGACGGCGCCTGTGCATCGCCGACGTCGCCAGTGCATCGCCAATGTATCGGCGATGCATCGCCGATGCGGCGTGCTCCTCCGACCCAATGTGCTCGGGTTGTGATGGGGGGGGGGGGGATCTCATGGCCGCGTCAGTGATATCTCCCGTGATTTCATGGCCCTCTCTTCTTCTTTCTTCACGTCCCCCAGTCCTCGCCTCGTCAGCGCACACGCTTCTGGCCATGATCCGTGAACTCCCCTCTGAGGCCACTCTTGGACGCCCCCGATCATAGAGCAGTGCTCCCACTTTCGTGCCACCATCTGCGAAACTTGCCCCTGTGGGTCCACTAGCCGCAGGGGTTTCGGACGCCCCCCCTGCTGGGATCAACCTGGCTGCATGTATCCTTCATCGTTTTCTCAGAAGTCCCACGTGCAGGGGTAGGGCTCGCGTGCGATTGGCGATTGCCTGCCCACGCCGGGGCCCGCTCGTGCAGGAGTTCCTCAGCCAGCGCCTCTGGTGACCCTGCTCTTCCCTCCCCCCGCGGTTGGTCATAAGCTGCGCCAGTGCGAAGCGCCTCGGATTTGGTGGCGCGGCAGTCGGAGAGTGGAGGCTCGGAGTTCTTGGGCTGGTCTCAGCCCGCGGCCCTCAGGGGCACTGTTAGGGGGGATATGCTCGAGCGGGGGTGCATCGACCCTCCAATCGCCCAATGATTGCCGCTAGGGGCCCGAAAGCCCACACCGCTCGGGACGGCGCGGCTTGACTCTCGGGGGCCTATCGGTCTACCGGCGATGTACCCGCCGATTCCAGGTCGATCCCCCCCGCTTCCCTCCGGAGCCGGTCCCCCTTATAGTTGCCCCTCAGGCACGAACACCTGGAGCCCGCGCTCTGCCTCGCCCCCCTGGCCCCAAGCCCGTTTGGGCTCCGTAGCCATTTTGGGTCAAGCCAGCGGTCCAATTCCACTTTGGGCTCCGCGAAGGCAGCATCCATAGATGCCTTCTCCGAGGCATGCGTGCGGTGGCCAGGCTGGGCTCCGTGGTCAAAGCACGGCGCGTCAATCGCTGCTTGTTGGTGGCTTGCCCAGGCCGGGACGGGGAGTCCTACAAGGAGGCTTTGCGGTCACTTCAGCAGGCTGGCGTGACGGCCGAGGTCTATTTCGCGCCAGCTGACTCTGCTGGCTTGTGCCCCGCGCCTTGCGCTGCTGACGCAGTCTCGGCCGCCGCGCGCGACACCGGTGCCGAGTTGTTGGTGGGTATGGGCCCAGGGGGCGTACTGGACCTGGCAAAGGCTGGGGCTGCGCTGGCGCCTCTAGCAGCCTCAGCTTCTGGCGACGCTGTACCCTCAACAAGCCACTTCCTGCTGGGCGGCCCTGGTGCAGCCACGCTCCTGCCTGGTGCCTCTTTGCCCCTGATCCTCGTCCCCACCACTGCCGCTGTCGCCGCCACCAGCGGCCGCTGCCTCCTGCGGACCGGCGCGCCCTTCGCAGGGGCGCTGGTTCCTCTGGCGGTGGCGGGGCCCGGGCCGTTCGGCGTCGGCCTCGGCCTACAGGCCGTCGACGTCGTCGCCGACGCCGCGCTCGCGGCGCGCCAGTCGGCCAGGGGCACGGCCGCGGCTGGCGCGCACGCCCTGAGCGTGTTCGCAGACTCCGCGGCGGCCGCCGCGGGCACCATCAAGGAGGAGATGCTCAGGGACGACATGGCCGCCGGGCTGTGCTCCGCGGCCGTGGCGCTGCGGCAGCCGGCGGACGCGACGGTGGACGCGCTGCAGGCCGCGCTGGCTGCGGGCGTCGCCGCCTCCGACGCGGACGCGAACGCCCGCGGTGGCCTGAGCGTCGTGCACGCCCTCGCGTGCGTGCTCGCGGGCGCCAGGCCTGGGCTGCCGTTCGGCGCCGCGTGCGGGGCGCTGCTGCCCCCGGTGCTCCGGGCCTGGGCCTCGCGGGCCGAGGGCGGGGGCCTCTGCGAGGCGGAGAGCGAGGGCGAGGCCGACGACGCCGAGGCGGTGGTTCGCAGCCTGGCGCTGCTGGCCGAGGACGTCCTGCCGCCCCGGGCGCCGCAGCGCGCTGCCTCCGCCGGCCCTCAGGGCCCCGCCGCGCCGCTGCGCCGCCTCGCCGCCTTCGTCGAGGAGCGCTGCGCGGCCGCGGGCCTGCCGCCGGGGCTGCCGCTGGCGCCCGGCGAGTGCCTGGAGAGCGCCGCGGCGCTGCTCGCCGTGCGGGCCTCTGGCGCGGCCGCGCTGTGGCAGAGGCCGTCCCCGGGCTGGCTGCGGGAGCCGCGCGCGCTGACGGGCGTCTTCCGCGCCGCGCTCGCGGGCCCCGCGGGGTGAGCAAGGAGAAACAAGAGACCGTTGGGGCTGGTGCGTACCAGGATCGGTGTATATGCCTTCCTGCCCACGCCAGGAGGGCGTATACACCGATCCTGGGATGAGCCTGGACAGGATCGGGGCCGCTGTATATAGCTGGCGTCCTCGCTAGCGTGCGCCGTGCCCGCAAACATGTAGCAGCCTGCCAGGTCGCCACCCTCGCTTTGCACCGCTGCTGGTCTCACTCTCGCCAGGGCCGCTGCTGCTGCTAGGAGAGGGCGGCACACGACCACATGACAGGAGGAGAGGGAGGAGAGGGAAAGGAGGAGGATCATGCTGCTGCTGTTGTTGTTGGTGTTGTGGTGGTTGTTTTTGTGATTGTTGTTGCTGCTGCTGTTGTTGTTGTGGTTGTTTTTGTGTTTGTTGTTGTTGCTGCTGTTGTTGTTGCTGCTGCTGTTGCTGTTGTGGTTGGTGTGGTTGTTGTGGTTGTTGTGGTTGTGGTTGTGGTTGTGGTTGTGGTTCTGGTTGTGATTGTGTTTGTTGTTGTTGTTGTTGTTGTTGTTGTTGTTTTTGTTGTTGTTGTTGTGGTTGTTGAACTTTCATTTCTGAAGAATAATTATTGTTGACCCCCCTCACAGGTGCATGCTGTTTTTCTCGATCAAAGTGTGCCCCTCGACGCTCGCACCCTGTTTTTTTGACAGGGACAGTCTTCGTGCTGAAGCTAGCCCCCTGCCCCCCCGGATTACAACAACAACGGCTTCCGCTTGAGACTTTCTCCAAATTTACTCAGGACTCCCGCTCCTGAGACGTCCTCACAATTTACTCAGGATCGGTGCTCTCGCCTGTGACTTCCTCGCAATTTAGTCAGGACCCCCGCTCCCATCTGAGACTTCCTCACAATTTGCTCAGGAACGGCGCTCCCGCTTGAGACGTCGTCGCAATTGAGTCAAGACTTCCTCGCAATTTAATCAAGACCCCCGCTCCCGCCAGAGAACCCTTCACATTTTATTCAGGAATTCCGCTCTCGCCTGTGACGTCCATGCGATATATTCAGAACTCGCGCTTTCGACGCTCAGGAAACACGCAGCGCCAAGGACACCGTTACAATTTACTTAGTAATCGCGCTCTCGCCATATTCAGGCATCCCGCTTGAATGTCCCATCCGCCCGACCCGCCCGTCAGGGGTCCCCTGCCCGTCGTGGGCTCCCGCCCGAGACTTCCTTCAGGAACGGCGCTTTCGCCTGGGACTTCCTGGAACGTTCACGCTCTTACCTTCCTGCTCCTCCTCCCTCTCCTCCCTTCTCTCTCCCTCCTCTCTTCCCTCTCCTTATGCCTCTCTGCCCTATCCCCTCTCCCTCCTCTCCCTCCTCCCTTCTCCCTCCCCTCTCCTGCCTCCTCCCTCCCTTTTTTTTTTTTTTTTCTCTCTCTCTCTCTCTCCCCCTCTCTCTCTCTTTCTCTACCCCTCTTATCTTTTTGTTCCCCCCTCTCTCTCTGCCTCTAATCAACCGCCCCCCTCTTCGCTCCTTATCCCCCGGCGTTTTCCCTCTTCCTTCGTCCCTCCCCCTCCCTTCCTCTCACTCTCCCTCGTTCTCCCCCTCCTTTGTTGTAGGGCCCACACCAATTCCAATGGCGGTCACATGTACGCCCACGAAGGATTGTCCGCCCGTTCAGGGTCGCCCGCGTGTCTAAGCACGCCGCCCCCCGCAAGGAGAAATGATCCCCCCAAAGGGGGTGTGATCGAAGCCAGCAAGGGCGGGTATCGAGGGTGTGGAGAACTCGTTTTGAATGTCACACGGCCAAGTAAGAGCGAACAGTCTTATATATTGATCATTATTGTTGCGGCTGTTGTTGGTGTTGATGATGATGGTTATCAGGAAGCGTATATGATGACGATTATGGTTGTGGTGGTGGTGGTGTGATGATGGTGGTGGTGGTGAGGGTGCTGAAAATGATGCTGATGATGATGATGGTGTTGGTGTTGGTGGGGATGGTGATGCTGATGTTGCTGCTGCTGATGGTGAAGTTGATTATGATGATGACGATGACAATGCCGATGGTGCTGATGATGGTGCGGATGCGGGTGCTGATTATGGTGATGGTGCCGGTGATGACGATGATGCTGATGATGCTAGGGATGATGCTGTTGCTCATGATGCTGCTGATGCGGATGCAGATATGTTGCCCCTGCTGTTGATGGTGGTTATGATGGTGATGATGTTTATGCTGAGGGTGGTGATGCCTATGCTGATAATGATGATGCTGATGGCGCTGATTGCCATGATGATGCTGATGGTGGTGGTGATTAGTCTGAGAAGGAGGCGGAGGAGGAGGAGTAGGAGGAGACGGAGGAGGAGGAGGAGGAGGAGTTGGAGGAGGAGGGGGAGGAGGAAGAGGAGGAGGAGGAGGAGGAGGAGGAGGAGGAGGAGGATGGGGAGGAGGAAGAGGGGGAGGCAGGAGGAGGAGGAATGTCCAGGGCGGATGCAAAGAAGGCGAGTTGAGGAGGAGGAGGAGGAGGAGGAACATCAGGATGATGATGATGATGGGGAGGAAAAAGAGAAGGGGTATGGTGCATGGAGAGGAGGAAGCGGAGGAGGATCAGGAGGATGATGCTGAGGATCCAAATGAAGCCAAGAGTCATCAAAGACGTTGCAATCTACCTTCCTTCGCAATTTCCGCTTCATATGCTCATTTGGGGCGGGAAGAATTCCGTTGCAAGACAACCGTCTCGAAATCTTCAAGCGTGCCGAAGCACTTGGACTTCAACGCTGCGATCGCTGGGACTTCAACGCCGTGAATTAATGCGACTGTTGCGACCTGACGATCGCGAATCGTGCCAGGACGTCGACACGCCGAATCAACGTGACTTTCGCGACCTGGTAGCCATCAGTGGTACCAAAACACCGCTTGGGCGGACGTCAGCCATCATACTCTTTGAGACTGTTGTGAATTGTTAAGACGAATGTGCGCGGCGTTTGGGCGAGAACCACATTTTGAAAACGAGCGGCCCTCTTTCCGTGAAGCTCTTGCAAGCTGTTAAAACGAAGGTGCGCAGGCGTTGAGGCGAGAACCACATTTTGAGACAGAACTGCGCTCCGTCATTGAAGCTCTGACAAACTTTGAGAAAGAGTGTGCGCGACGCGAAGGCGAGAGCCACAATGTGAAAAAGAACCGCGCTCCATCCGTAATCAAATGTTTAAGACGAGTGTGCGCGGCGCGAAGGCACGAGCCACATGTTGAAAATGACCCGCCCTCCATCCTTGAAGCTGTTGCAAACGTCAAACTTCAGGGCCACAAGCCGTGTGGAAGTCTCTGGCGAAAGGCCCGGCCCGCCTTACCGACCCGTCTGGGGGTGCGACTGGGAGGAATTATTGATAAGAGAGAGGGGTTGAGGCGGAGGAGGAGGAACACGACGAGGAGGAATACGCAGATGAGGAGGAGGAGGAGGAAGAGAAGGAGCACGAGGCAGGAGGAGCAACCAAACAGGGCATGATGAGGAGCACAGGGGAGGAGGTGGGACAGAAACTGGTAGCAGGAAGTGGCGCAGGAAGAGGGCCCTCGTTCTGCGCCCTGATTCCTCTCGTCGACCTGGTCACTGTCGTCGTCGCCGTCGTCGTCGCTATACTCTTGTTTTCACTCGCACTCCTCGTGCTGCTGCTTCTGATTCTGCCAACGGAGAACTAAACGAGTCCAAGACCTCGATCTCGAATCCTCGCTACCCCCCTCTTTTCCCTGCACCTGTTGAGGAGGAAAAGGAGGAGGCGGAAAAGGAGGAGGAGGAGGAAGAGGAGGAGGAGGAGGAAGTGGACAAGGAGGAGGAGGAGGACGAGGAGGAGGAGGACAAGTGTAAACCCAAGGCTCATCAACGATTTTGCAATACACCTTCTACACGGATTCATTTGCACTGAGGGGAGCGCCCCGTTGGAAGACAACCGCTTGAAAATTTGAAATTGTGCCAGGAGTTCATCCCTGGGATTGCAACGCCGAGAATCACCGATTCTGTTGCGTGTTGACGATCCTGATCGCACCAGAACATCATGTTTACTATTGCATCACTTCGAAACAACGCTACTGTTGCGACATGACATTCCGACGTCGTGTGCCAACACACCATCTCTGCGACGCTAACAATGATACCACTTGCGAACTCTTAGGACGAACGTGTGCGGCGCTAAGGCGAGAGCCACAATGTAAAAAGGAACCGCCCTCCATCGCGGGAGCTCTTGCAATCTTTTAAACGAATGTGCGCGGCGCGAAGACGCGAGCCACCTCGGGGTGCGACAGCGAGGACTTATTCAGAAGGAAATGGAATTGAGGAGGCGACGAAGGAAGAGGTGGAGGAGGTGAGGAGGATGGAGATGAGCAGGAGGACGAGGAGGAGGAAGAGTAGGAGGAGGAGGAGGAGGAGGGGCAGAATGAGGAGACGCTCGCCCCTGAGGAGGTGCGGTCGGAAGCGGTGACAGAGCGAGCCGTGGCGCGTGACCGGCTGGCGTCGGAGGCCCCTCCCGTTCCCGCATCTGCGCGTTCGGCAGGGAGGGAAAGAGAGAGAGAGAGAGAACAAAAAAAAGGAAAGACAGTTATATATTTATATATAGAGAAAGAGAGCGAGAAAGAGAGAGAGAGAGAGAGAGGTAAAGAGAGACGGGGAGCCGACCTCATGCTTGCTGTTGCCCCCTGCATCAGAGAAGCAGGAAGTCGTGGTAGTCATGCGCTGCAGTCAGGGGCAACGTTAGGGGGGGGGATAGGCTCGGGTGAGGACGCATCGGCCGCCAATCGCCCATTGATCGCCGCTATGGGCCGGACAGTCCGCCCCGCTGAGGAACGTTTGGATTCGCTATCGAGAGCCTATCGCCGATTCCAAGTCGATGTCTCCCCCCCGCTCCCAGTACTATCAGAGGGGTACAAAGTCGTGGTAATGATGTGCTTCAAGACGGTGTGCTTCAAGGGTTCGAGCTTTTCTGGCTCCGCGCGGGCTGCAGCGACGAGGGCCGCTGGATGCTCCGGAGCTCTTGGAGCGTGCAGTCAAAATCTTGAAGCAAGGGTCACTTGGGGCTCAGGTGGGGCTCTGGCGCTCCATAGATTTAGCTCGGGGTCCTGTTCGTGGCCGAGGCTCGCCGTGACAGGAATAGTTCCTCGTTCCTCATTCTGCGTTCGCCGATAGGCGCCTGATAGCCTAACCTGCCCATCGGGGTCCCATCGCCGATGTATCCGCGATCGTGGTCGAGGCTCGTCGTGACCAGAACAGCCCCCTGCGTTTTTCATGCAGCGCTCCTTAGGGCAGCACGGTAACATTAGCCTGAGCCAGTCGTATCATGACACCGTTCGCGTCCTGACACAGCCCAGGACTCCCCCCTTTTTTATCCAGGGACGCGCGGTCGCACCTGGGGGGCCGTGTTCTGAGTAATGCGCGTCTGGGCCAGCTGGGGCGCACGTGGAGGGCTGCGCCACAGAGCATCGGCTCCCTCTGGGCCTCAGGAGAAGTTGGCGAGCCTCCCCTGCGGTGCGCGCGGAGGCTGTCCTCGCAGGCTGCCCCATCTGCCCTCCTCCTCCCCCCTCCTCCCCCCTCCCCCCTCCTCCTCCTCCTCCTCCTCCTCCTCCTCCTCCTCCTCCTCCTCCTCCTTCGCATTCAGTCGACCGCCTCTGGTGGCCCAGAATCGGCCGAGATCGAGCGATCTGCGCGGACGCTGCGAAGCCCCTTTGTTCTTACTTGGCGCTCTTTGTGGTCGTCCGATGACTGTATACAGGTGCTGCACGGCCGCCCGACTCGCCCGCGGGGGCCACTTTCGTCCAGTCGAAGCGGCGGCGGCCGCCGCGCTCCGCGCAGGTGCGCTCGCTGGAGCGCCTGCGCGCGGCGGTGGCCTCCCCACCCGGGGGGTGGGGGGGGTGGGGGCCAGGCCGCCATTCAGGGGCAACGTGCGGTGTCACGCCGCTGGAGGAGGAGGAGGAGGCGGCGGAGGAGGCGGAGGAGGGCGAGCAAGCGAGCGATTGAGCGACCGAGCAGCCGAAAGGCAGTTGGGTTCGGGCGGACGGGATTACAGGCCCCTCAACCTGGGGGACCACCTCCAGAAAGGTGGGGCCCGCAGCCGTCCGCTTTGCCGCACACGGCTCCCCAGGCGAGGCACTTGTGAACAAACAGGACCTGGCGCGCGTCCGAGTCGATGTGCTAAGCCGTGGCGAGCATCTTCTTGGAAATGATGGCGGTTGCGGCGGGGTAGGCGCTGACCAGCATCTCAAGCTACACCAAGGAGGAGGAGGAGGAGGAGGAGGAGGAGGAGGAGGAGGAGGAGGGGCGAGGAGGAGGAGGAGGAGGAGAAGGAGAAGGACCAGTGCAAATCCAGGACGATGTTGCAATAACCCTTCCCTCCAAGTTACACTTGCTAGGTCCCTACAAGGGTTCATTTTCACTGACGGAAGTGCCCCGTTGGAAGACAACCGTCTGAAAATCCTGGGCCGTGCCAGCACATCATTCCTGGGACATGAACGCCGCAAATCAACGTTACAGTTGCATTCTGACGATCCTGAATCGTGCCAGAACGCCGTTCCTGGGACTTCACCACCGCGAGTCAACGTAACCCTGATAGTCTTACATCGTGCCAAGACAACATTTCTGGGACGCCAGCCATAATAATTTTTACACTGCTGGCGGACTCTTGAGACGACTGTGCGCGCCGCTAAGGCGAGAACCACATGTTGAAAAGATACCGCCTTCCACCCGTGACGCTTTGCAAACTTCGAGAACGCACGTGTGTGGCGCTAAGACGAGAGCCACACTTGAAGATGGCCCGCCCTCCATCCCTGAAGTTCTGTCAAATGTTTAAGACGAGTGTGCGCGGAGCTAAGGCGAGGGCCACCCGTCAACCATCTGTGGACTTGGTGAGGACATCTCAGACGAAACGCCAGGCCCGCCATACCGAAAGGCCTCGTGGTGCGAGAGGGGGGGGGGGAATTCTTGATAACTTGAGAAGGACAAGGGATGGAGGATAAGAAGGATGATGAGGAGGAGAGGGGTAGGAGGCGGAAGGGGAGGAGGGGGAGGAGGAGGAGGAGGACCATAGTAAACCAAAGATGCATAAGCGATGCTGCAATGCACCCTTCCTTCCGAAGCCCTCTCGTCACATGCCCCTACAAGCCTACAAGTCTTCCTTTTCACTGCAATGAGCCCCCCTCCCGAAAGACCAGCACAGTTGGGCTTCCATTTTGATGAGGCCCTGGCTTTGAAACAGACTTGAACTTTGCAGTTTCCAGCGCGCAGTCAGGAACGAGAGAAGCAGTGATCCTACTTGCCAAGAATCACCGAGCGCGTTCCACTACTCGCAAATTGCCTACTCGCAAACGTTCGAAAAAAAAACATGTCTGTTTTGATGTCATTTATCGTAGACCCCCCGTGGGGGATTCAGGCCATTTGCGAGTAGTCACTTTGCGAGTAGGGGAACGCGCCTGTCTACAGAAGGTGTCCAGCGGGATCCCCCTTTCGAAGAAGAACCTCTTCCCCCCGTGCATGTCTTGAACAAGTCAACGCTTACACTTCGAGGAGGTCTCAAGTGCCGCCGCCCGTGCAGCGCTCGGTGCGCTGCAGTTTCGGGTCCTGAAACCTAGCGAAGCCTTGGGCGATAATCCCATTCACAGGAGATTATTCAGCAAATTAGTAAGACGATTCGTAAGACAGAAGATATAGGAATATTGGTAAGAGTAGTAAGACAATTCGTTCCAAATCTTTCACGAGAGATTACTATGAAAACGAATGCACCCGGCGCTGAGGCGAGAGCCTCACGTTTGAAACCACCAGTGTTCCACTTCTAGAATTGTTGAAGTATGTCCGGGCGAACGTTCGCGGCACTGAGGTGAGAGAGCCTCTCTTCGACAAGGACACGCCCCCAATCCGTTAATCCAATGCGAATTTTTCATGCGCGGCTCTAAGGCGAGAGCACCGATTTGAACACGACCCCCCGTCCATCTTTCAAACTAGTGCAAATTTTCGACACGACTGTGCGAGGCGCTAAGGCGAAAACAACATTTTGAAAAGGAAGCGCCCTCCATCCGCCACGTTGTTGCAAACTTGTGCGACGCTAGCACGAGAGCTACATTTAACAAAACGAAGCCATTCCATCTCTGAACCTGTTGCAAACTGTTCAGACGGCTGTGCGCGGCGCTAAGGCGAGAGCCACATTTTGAACAGGCCAGCCCTCCATCCGTGACGCTGTTGCCAACTTTTACAACGAATTTTCGCGTTGCTGGGGCGTGAACGCCACTTTGAAAAGGAACCGCCTTCCATCCGCGACTCAGGTGCACATGTTTGAGACCAGTGTGTGCGGCGTTCCATCAAGAACCGCATTTTGACGTGAAACTGATGCACATGTTTAAGACGAGGGTGCGCGGCCCAACGGCGAGAGTCACATTTTGAAAAGGAGCCGCCATCTTTCCGTGACATTCTTGCGAACTTTCACGACGACGTTGCGCGGCGTTAAGGCGAGAGCCACATTTGGAGAACGACCCTCCTCTGTATCCGCCACGCTGCTGCAAACTTGTATGACGACTGTGTGCGGCGCTCAGGCGAGACTCACATTTTGAGCACGACCTGCCTTCATCTCTGAAGCTGTTGCGAATGTTTATGACGAGTGTTCGCGGCGCCATGGCGAGAACCTCATTTTGAAAAGGTGGCGCCTTCCATCGTGATCGTGTGCGGCGCTAACCATGCGAATATTGGAAACCTTGCGAACTCTTGAGACCAACGTGTGCGGCGCTAAGGCGAGAGCCACCACTTGAGAAGGAACCGCCCTCCATCGCGGGAACTCTTGCAACCTTTTAGAACGAATGTGTCGGTGCTAAGGCGAGATGCACACATTGAAAACGAATTCCCTCCATCGTTGAAGATGTTTCAAACTGTTCAGACGGTTGTGTTCGGCGCTAAGGCGAGCAACATTTTGAAATGGCCCGCCCTCCATCCGTGACGCTGTTGCAAGCTTGTACTATGTTTTTCGCGTTGGCTGGGGCGAGAGCGCCATTTGGAAACGCAACCGCCTTCCATCCGTTAATCAGGTGCAAGTGTTTGAGACGAGCGTTCGCGGTGTAAGAACCACATTGTGACCCCACGTCCATCCGTGAAATTGCTGCACATGTTTAAGATGTTTAAGACGAATGTGCGTGGCGCTAAGGCGAGAAACACATTTTGCAAAGGAACCGCCCTCCATCCGTGAAACGCGTGCAGACTTTCACGACGAGTGTTCTTGGCGCTAAGGCGAGAGCCACATTTCGGAAACGATCCGACTTTAATTCGTGAAGCTGTCGCGCATTTCAAGCTTCCGGTTCATAGGTCGTGAGGAAGTCCAAGGCGAAACGCCCGTCCCGCCTTACCGACACGCCTGGTGGTGCGACAGAAAGGAGGTACTGATAAGGACAATCGAAGGAAGATGAGGAGAAGGAGGTTGAGAAAGAGGAGGAGGAGGATGAGGAGTTGTCATACGTTTCCGGAAGTGTTCGACAGTTTCGAGACGCGGTGTGGTTTCGATCAGCTGCGCCTCGTCGAGAGCGTTCCCTCCCCTGTGTGTGTGAGTGTTAATGTCAGACTCGTCCTGAACGGCTGCCCCAGAGAGCCGAGTTATGGCCCGAAAGTTAGGGGGCAACGCTAAGGGGGGGATAGGCGCAGGGGGGGATGCGTCGACCCCCAATCGCCCAGCCATCGCCGATAGGGGCCCGCGATAGCGCACCCCGCACAGTGGCGTGCGTTCTCGCTATCGCCGACCTGTCGGCGATGCATCGCCGATTTCAGGTCGATGGTTCCTCCCCGGTGCCACTTCTCCCCTGGCGTTGCCCCCGACGCAAGGATCGAGGGCGGCGAGGAGGGCGAGGAGGGGCGATGAGGGCGAGGCTTTCGGGCGTTGTCCTCGCTTGTCGGCGGTCTTCCAGCCTCGGGATGCTTTCCATCAGCTGCGCCTTGCCGAGAGCGTCCCTGAGGTGCCTGGGTCGTCCCGAAATGCCGCCGAAGACTCGTTATGATCCGAAATCCTGGCGACGCGGATCACCCGGGTCGGACGAAGTGGGGGGAGTGGGAATGCCGGTGTCGGAATGTGCAGGATGCAGCTGGTTTCGTCCTGCCATTGGGCGCCTTTCCTAGCTACATGGGTCTCTCCCTGCGCTGGGATGCGCTGGGAAAACCAGCTACGTCAGCTGATTCGTTAACCCCACCTTTACTTCGCCCTTTTGTCCGACCCGGCAGGGCGGAGAGGAGGGCAAGGAGGGGGGATTGTCTAGGATGGCGAGGAGGGCGAGCGGGAGGAGGGCGGCGAGGGGGGTGGAATCGAGGATCGAGGAGGGCGAGGAGGGCGGGGATGGCCTGAGCCAGGCGGGCGAGGATGGCGAGGAGGGGGCGAGGAGGGGGCGAGGAGGGGGCGAGGAGGGGGGGGGCGCAGGATCCAGTATCGAGGAGGGCGCGGAGGGCGAGGAGGGGGGACGGTGCAGGATGCAGGGTTGAGAATGAGTTTGGACATTTGTGCGCTCTTCCAGACCTCGGGGATGCTTTTGGATGCCTTTGCAGGCCTCCGGTGTCTGGATATTTTCGGGGACCTCCAGATGCTTCGGAGGCTTCTGGGGAAAGGGCAGTGGGTAGGACAGGGGAGGGGGCAGGAAGAGGAAGAAGAGGATGAGGATGCGGAGAAGGAGGAGTAGGATGAGGAGGAGGGCGACACAGGGGAACTGGGGGATGGGGAAGGAAGAGGGTGGGAAGGCGATGATGGGAAGGGCAAATGGGGCAGGCAGAGGGCGGGGAGGCGAGAGGGAGGCGGGCAAAGGGAGTGTGAGAAGGAGAACGAGAGGCGTCTTGAGCGACTTGAGGCGATCTTGGCGGCCTCTTGGACCGAA